TTTTGTGAAAAAGTTGTCATTTTAATTCCCCCCTTGTGGGCAGGTTAAGGGTTAAATTTATGAAAAAAATATACCAAATGAAAGGTAATGATATTATGCATCTATATAAAAAAGAATTATATTGATATGTTTATTTTTGAAAAAGTTATGGCACTTTTAAGAAAAAAAAATTGAAAAAATTTCGAAAATTAGCGATTTTTAAATTCGAAATTTTTTTGGAGGTTTCCCCCATTTACGGGGAACGAGGGAATTTTTTTCAATTTTTGAGGGTTATGTCTTCGACTAGATACAATTTGTGATCTTTTGACGTATCATTGAAAGATATCGGTTCGGTGAGAGCTGAGAAAAAGTGGTAACAGACACAAAAAAAAAAAAAAAAAACACATCTTAGTAAAACCAATACCTTCTCAGCTTCGCATCGAAGCTAAAATGTGTAGTTTATATCCTATACATTTCACTATTTTTGAATTTTACTCATTTTATAATTAAATTTCTACTATATTTCTGTTAAACTGCTTTTAAAGTAATATTATCCTGCACGACACTTATTGTGCCCAACGTAGCTGGGTACCCATACCGGAATCAGTGGCCTACTTATAAGGACAATCGTGAGGCCCTCAGGACACCGGGTCTGGGGCGGAGTCCCAGCTAGGCGGAGAGTAGTACTTTAATAATTAATAAACATCGTGGTTGCCATTTAATTTTTAATTTGATACACATGTTTGTACATCATACAATTAGTACATGAATATAATCCTTTCATTTAAATATATGTATTCAAATAACATACGAAAACAGTGATAACAATTACTAAATCTCCTTTTTTTTTATTAACTTTGATGACTGTTTTCACCATGAAAACAAAATAAAGTCAGATATTTTTTTTTTCATAATAAAGTATATTACATAAGCTTTAATTTAAGATATATATAAAAGTGTCAGTATTTCTGGAACACTTTCAAAAATTAAGTTGAAAAATTCCCTCTGTGGGCAGGTAAAGGGTCAAATTTATAAAAATATTATATCAAATAATAGGTAAAGATGTTATGCATCTATAAAAAAAATTATATTGATTTGGTCATTATTGAAAAAGTTATGACAGTTGTAAGCAAAAAAAAAACAGAAGCACAGTGGGGTCACGACACAGTATGGACGTGACATAATTGGGACAAGTATAGATGATATCTGACAGTGATTAAAACGAATATCATAAGAAACGCTTCTTATGATAGTGTTTATAATTAATATTATTAATAATGTTTTACGTATATTTTACCCGCCATGTGCTAAATTTTGACTAATTTTTGTGAAAAATTAGAAGTTAAGTGTTAAGTATTACACGGTCTAACACGTATATGTCAGTAATACTTTTTTACCTCTCTGGTGTTCACGTCTTGGTGAAGTAACAATAAACTGTTCATCGTTAGAATGCGATCTAAATGTATTGCTATTGACTATATCAGAATCTGGCTGTGAGGCTACATAAAAATATTTAACCATAAGAATAAAATTGTAAAAATTTATTATCAAATTTTAGCTTCGATGCGAAGCGGAGAAGGTATTAATTTTACTATGATGTGTTTTTTTTTTTTTATGTTTGTTGCCACTTTTTCTCAGCTCTCACTGGACCGATTTCTTTCAAAAATACGTCAAAAGATCACAAATCGTATCTAGTTGAAGACATTACCCTTAAAAATTGAAAAAAATTACCTCGTTCCCCGCAAATGGGGGAAATATACAAAAAAATTACAAATTTAAAAATCGCTAATTTTCGAAATTTTTTCACTTTTTTTTCTTAAAACTTCCATAACTTTTTGAAAAATCAACAAATCAACATAATTTTTTTTTATACTAAAACCTTAGATATTTACCTTTCATTTGATATCATTTTTTTGAAAATCTATCACTTAACCTGCTCATTGGGGGGGATTTAAAATGGCAACTTTTTTTACAAAAATTAACTTTTTCAACTTAATTTTTGAAAATGTTCCGGAAATACTGCGTCCTTCAAACATATATAAATTAAAGCTTATTTTATGTACTATAAAATGAAAAAAAAAAATTTGTCCCGACACCTTATCTTCTATGTGCAAATGGCTGTCGAAATTATAAAAAAAATGTAATATTTGCGATAAAAATCACCTTTTATAACGATGTTTTTTGTACTTAAAACTGCCATAACTTTTTCAAATATTAACTAATCAAAATAATATTTCTTTATATTGAAACCTTAGGTAATTTTCTTTCATTTGATATCATTTTTTTTTGAAAATCTAACACTTATTCTGCTCACAGGGGGGATTTAAAATAGCAACTTTTTTACAAAAACTAACTTTTTCAACTTAATTTTTGAAAATGTTCCGGAAATACTGCGTCCTTTAAACATATATCAAATTAAAGCTTATTTTATGTACTATAAAATGAAAAAAAAAAATTTGTCCCGACACTTTATCTTCTGCATGTAAACGGTTGCCGTAGTTAAAAAAACACTATTTTTGTGTTAAAATTTTCGATTTTCGATTTTAAATTTTCAACTTAAAAATGCTATAACTTTTCGAAAAATGTGTGTATCAGCACAAATTTTTTTTTTCTAAATATATTATGAGTACATCTTTCATTTGATATAATTTTTATTAAAATTGGACAATTTCCCCTTATATAGGGGGCGTCCAAAACTTGAAATATTGTAAGAAACATAGATCTCTTTCAACTGAACGTTTAAAAATGTTGCGGAAATACTGCGTCCTTTAAACATATATCAAATTAAAGCTTATTTCATGTACTATAAAATAAAAAAAAAAAATTTGTCCCGACGACCTATCTTCTATGCGCAAAAGGCTACCGTATTCAAAAATATGCTATTTTAACAAATTTTTTTTTTATAAATTAAACACTATCTACAGATTTGCATCGAAGCGTTTTTTATGATAGTGATTTTAATCACTGTCAGATATCATCTATACTGGACCCAACTATGCCACGACCCCACTGTGCCGCCACCCCACTGTGCTGGTTTTTTTTTAATTAAAATACCGCTTTTAACTCGAGTAATAGCAGAGTCTGTAATTTGTTGGGTGTCGTTTTCTTGAGTAGATCTTGAGTTACCACGAGATCGAACTGGGAATCCTGCATTAGATGGAAGGCGTTCTTCGGAAACAGACGAGGATGGTAACGATAGAGCTTCTTCAAGGTTACGTCCAGATTTTTAAAAAAAGGATGAGAAGAAAATTTGTAAAGTACTAATAAAAAAAATTGTATTGATTCATAAATCCTTAAAAAATTTATAGTAATATAAATTTCAAAATATAAAATATGTATATTTTATAAAATTGAGAATTTTAATACAAAAATAACACGTTTTTAACTATAGCAACTGTTTGTATATAAAAAATAAGGTATCGGAAAAAATATTTTTTTAACTTGTAGCAACAGAAGCTCTATTTTAGAATCTGCTATTAATCCCACTCTTATAAGTTATATAATGTTCATCCCTCTTTCTAAAATAAGTATTAACCATAGTAAGATCATACGATACTGCAAATTCCAGGAATCTTTCTTGGGCCTCCTTTTTCCCACTAAAACCATACCCTCCATGTACTCTTCCATATCCTCTCCTCTCATTACTTACATATACATTAATATCTTCACCTACCACATTTTGACATTTTGGACATGTTACACATTTTAGATCGCATTTTTATTATAAATATCCTTTATGCAATTACATAATTAAAAATATATAAAAAGAATTATTTTTCTTGAAATTTTCCAAATTTTTTTGATAATGTTATAAAATAGTTGTGCGAAATTTGAGATAGCTGCAACAAGTTAAACCTGTTTTCTTGTTAATTTTAAACTTGTCTAAAGCATTCATTTATCACGAAATTATTCTGTACTTTTCGCTTAAATTTCTTTCTATTTAACTGCCAGTTAATAGCATGACTAGACATCAAATAAGCACCCTGACTGGTCTACTGACAGGAAATGGTCACCTGCTTAAACATCTTATGTAATGGGGGTATCGGAATCACCATTGTGCAGGAAGTGTGGAGTAAAGGAGGAAAACTCATTTCACATCATGTGCGAATCTGAAGCCCTGTCTACACTAAGATCAAACTACTTGAATAAACCTTTTCCTGAAAAAGAAGATATTAAAAACCTAAAACCCAGAGAGATACTTAATTTCGCCAGAAAGACAGATCTCTTCGGTCATCTTTAAAGGTGACTTTATGGTTGGTAATGTATTAACACTTTGGTGATAACACTTAGGTGGGTAAACCGAATCAAGACAATTCGGTATGAGGTGCGCACAATGGACCAACAGGTCTGAGTGCATGGGCATTATGTCCACCTCGATAATAACTAAAACTGCCAGTTAAACATTTATTAACATTAAATAGATATATAGGATTTTAATGATGTTATACTTTTTATTTCCTCATCTATTATTATCCCTACATCATATTTTTCATTGGTCTTATCTGAATATATTATTTTATAATCGTCACTTTCTCCCCTTGCTTTCTGTCTTCACACTGTTGATACTATAAGCGGTGGGTAGACCTGTACACAAGACTGGTGAAACAACTACCGCACAAGTTTTCCGGCTGGTATCAAACACTTTAAGGTTTAGGCCTTCTTCGTTTCTAACTACTTTATTTCCTTTCACATGTTGTCCTCTCGTACAAACGAGATGGGACAATCCGTCTAAGTTCTGTTCATGACTTCTCATACTTTTTGATAAAATTTTAAACTGGCCGGCGACCAAACGAAACCTCGTTAGTCGCCTCTTACGACTGGTACAGGGGCTGTGGAAGTATTCTTAATCCCTATCCACAGGATTCAGTCACCTAAAATTAAATAAACCTTACAATAATATTATTCATAATTTATTATAGCCACGAAATCAGTGAGATAATCTATTCTGTGACACGATATAATTGTTAGTTCCATGAGTTATCAGCTATCATTAATATGTTAACAATAATAATATTTACCCCTTGAATTTTAGTCAAAAGTATGGATTTAAACGTTGTTAAACGCTACTATTATGTTAATTGTTTAGACTTTAATTATTTAATCAATTATTTATTTTTTAATTTTGTGTAAACACCTAATGAAATTACATTAAGTATAACTGATAAATTATTAAAGTTTTAATTAAAAAAAATATTTTTTGGTAATTATGGCAGACTCAAAGCCATCAGTTGTATTGAATGTTGTGCCGACTATTGATCAAATCAACGCTGATCGCATTACACAAGTAAATTTAGTATTATATTATTGTAATTTAAATTAAAATGATAAGTTAATATTAATTTATTCGTATTAAATTCTTTAGTTGGCATCTAAATATTGGGCTCCTAATGTGCAACCTGATCAGTATTTGCCGTTTGATAAGGAAATAATTGAAAACATATACAATGAAGAAATTTTAAAATCAAAGTTTGTTTTCATAATCCATGTTTTAGATAGCTAGTTATCTAATAAATGAAAAGGTATGATACATTTTAATATTTCAATTTTAGTTTTTCAGTGAGGCGTATTATGATATTGGAGTATAGTCAATATTTAGAAAATTTTTTATGGCCTCACTATAAATCAAGCAATTCATCTTATGCTCACATAATGTCCATTGTTATAATGTTAAATGAAAAGTTTCGTGAACGTGTTGCTCCTTGGGAGGTATTAATAAATGTCATTAATGCTATTAACATACATTTTATTTATTATAAATGTTATAATTATTATAATTCCATATCTTTCTAACAATGCGTAGATATTATATTTGTGTTGTACTTGACACCTTTTTTCTATGTTTTATGGTATTTTGTGTTAATTTTATACCGTTTTTTTTTAGGCGTTAAAAAAAGCACCTAATGAATTTGATGGATTTATCAATCAAGTTTTACATTTGTGTCTTTTAGATAATAACAGCATCAAAGAGCAGATATCTCTTATAGTTTTTTTAAATCATTGTTTTCAATGTATGGAAACTGATTTAGTTAGAAATAAAATGAAAAAACTCGTTTCAATTTCAATTTGGTGTTGTTTACAAGAAGTAAATTTGCATTTTTAGTTAAATAGTTATATTCAGTTATATCCTTTTTGTCATAATTTAAATATCGCTTATTCTTGTTTAGTTGTACTTTTGTTTTATTGTCTATAAATATAAAATTACAACTTTTAATTTTATTGTAAGTTTAATATTTTACATTTTTTAAGTTTAATTAGTAGTACTACTATCATTACATTAATAAATTTGAACAACACATGAATTTTATCATTAATCATTGTTTTTATAAAATTTTAATTTATGAAAATGAGTCTGAGTTTATTTATGTATAAAATTTATCTATCAGATTTTATTTGTATTAAAAGCTAATAATTAATTTTCATAAAAATAAAAAACAACCAAAAAAATTTTGATTTTATTTTAATTTTACTTTAAAATTTACTTAGTAGCTTGCTTTTTTACAAATAAATTTTAAATTTTAGAAACGAAGATTAGTAGAGTTACGTCAAGTTTCTAAATGGCAAAAACTATGGAATAAACTTCAAAAAAAAGATAAAGAACTTTTAGTTGAGCAAAAATCAAATGCTGTTCTTGAAAGGACATTTTTACATAAATTATGCATCAAATTTATTACTATTTTAGAAAGTATTTCATCAAATGGTAAAATATTACTGAAAATGTATAATATATTATTGAAATTTTTATTGATTTTATATTCATGATTTGTCAATATTGATTAATAATTTTGATAAAATGGATTAATATTACATGTAATAAAATAAAAATATTACATGGTTAATTCAAATTATTAAGTAACATATTTATGTTATTATTTATATATTGTTATGCTTGTAATCAAGAAACAATAGGTTTTTATATTAATTTTTTTTTTTTAGATGAAATTTGCATGGATAGATTAAATTACTGTGAACGTTTTCTTGAAATGTTGATTGACTTGGAGACTTCTTTACCTACTAGAAGATTTTTTCATGTAGTATTAGATGATATTCATTTAATTGAACGCTGTTTTTTAGCTCCATTATGCAATAGACTTGAAGGACACCTGTTCCAACAGTTGCTAGATATTTTAAAATTTTATTTCCACTTTGAAATTTGCCAGTCAACTGGTGATCCACTGACAGAAAATGAAGTGATGCTTACACATTATGAAAACGTAGCATCATTACAAGTGTGTATTTTATAGATTTAAAAAACTAAGTAGCGAAAATTGTATTATAATAAATTATGGTACTATAAATTTAATTTAATGAAATTTACCAAATTTTAGTCAATAAATGAGTTTGCTATAATTTTATTTATATTTTCAAAATATCTAAAAATGTATAAATTAAAAGATACAAATAAATTATTTTTAGAAAAAAAAATTTGTTTTATTGACAAATATCTTTAAAATATTACAAGTTTACAATGAATTCATTATTCGATGACACTGAAGTTAAAATTATAAAACTAATTTTTATATTGTGTATCAAATTTTGAATCAAGTTAAATTTTTTAGAACAAATATGAAAAATGATATAGTGTTTTGCATTGATAATGATAACATTGTTTCCAAATTATATATCCGCGATTCTTTTAGTAATTTTATTTTGGCTTTTTAATTTTAAACTTTTTTAGTTTTAAATTAATAATATTTTTAATTTTAAATAATATTAGCAACAAGTGATCAATTTTTATTATATTAGTGTTGATATTTTACTACATTTTAAATTACTTTGTACAATAACCATTCAATTAAAACTAAGAATAAAAAGTTTTTATTCATTGTTGACATTTTATGTTAAATTTTTAATTCATATATTCAACCTTTTTTTAGACTACTGTATTTGGAAAGTTTATGAAATTACAAGATTTTTCACTCTCAAACATTAGTGCTCTTGACAAATATGATTCTCTTCTAAAACATTTTAAAAATTTAAGGTATAAACTATTTTTAATTAGTAGATGCATAATGTATACTTATATGAAAAATAATTGTTTATATATTTTTTTAATACTTAGTAATGAAGAGCTCCAGATAATTGCAATGAATTTAAATTTAATTCCTGATCAAGAAAAAAGAAAAACTGAAAATTGGTATCGATATGATTCAGAATTTTTACTGGCATTATTAGTAAGTATACATTGCTTTTTCTTACTATTTATTATTATTATTACAATAATATGATTATTTACTATTTTATAAAATAGTAAAATATGTATTGCCCTAAAAAATTTTGTTTATACCCATTAAAAATTGTATAAGAAATGAACATAAAATATATTTAATAATAATAACCATAATATTGATTAAAAGGGTGCCCAAGTAAAAACTATTTTAGAATAAATGTAATGCAAAATTACCATAAGTCATTATATTGAATGTTAAATTTTGTAAAGAAATGTGTATCATAGTATACAAATTTGAGCTAGCTCTACTTAGTCAATAAGATACATGAGAAGTTGATTAGTTTTATAGTATTTAAGTGATCTTTGTTTGATTAAATAATTCCCTGTATAATTTGTTTAGTTTAAAAATTGTTGTATTTTAGAATAATGTATTTTTTTTTTATTGAAAGTTATATTTATTTCAAGGGTTTAGCCAATTTTATATTAATATCATATATCTATTAATAATTTATATTTAATATTGTAAAAATATTAATTATTGAAACCTATTTGATTATTAATAGGTTACCTAGAAAATTTAAGCCTCATTTGGACAAGTGTTAAATTTCTTCTCTTGTCTAATTATTTTTATGGATTTAATAAGATAAGACTTGATATAGGTATAGTGGTGTGCAATGGACACAGCTCTAATATTAAGCCGTGTTTAATTTATTATCCCCAAGTATATTTAGCTCAGTTATCCTGTCTTTGATGAAGACAAAAATAGTCATTGAAGGGCTATTAAGTTTAGAAATAATTATTTTTTTGTATCATTTTTCTTAATAAAAATGAATACTATAGGTATCAAGGCATGAAGCTAGAGAATCACAATTAAAACTTTTAAACAGTATGCCCTTGTATCCAACTGAAGATATTATATGGAATGAAGCTGTTGTGCCTACTGAATATTTTAATGGAAACAACTGTTTAGCATTACCTAAGTTAAACTTGCAGTTCTTAACTCTTCATGATTATTTGCTACGTAACTTCCAATTATTTCGCTTGGAATCTACATGTAAGTTTAAAATTACATAATTCACTATATTAATCTTGATGTATAAATTTTATTTTTATTTTTTTGTAATCATTTTATAATAAGAATTTCTGGGTTAAAGTATTAAAAATTATTAAAACTAATAAATTTTTTTTTTTTTTTGATAGATGAAATCAGACAAGATATTGAAGATACTATTACTCGTATGAACCCTTGGTAATTTGTAATATTAAATTAATTTATACATATAATTTAAACTAATTATTTTTGTTTCATTTAATTTATAAATTATAATATTTTAAAATTTTTAGCAAATCTGAAGACGGAAATGTATACTTCAGTGGTTATTCAAAAATGTCATTACCTATTGATAATTTTTTAATTGTCGAAGTCGCAAAACCAAATCTTGGTTAGTAAAAATTTTACCATTTGTTATTGTCTGACTAATTATTTTTATTTTAGGTGATTTACAACCATCAAGAGTGAGAGCTGATGTTTCAATAACTTTAAATGTTAAAAGAGATGTGCAAGAAGAATGGGAAAATATTCGCAAACATGATGTTTGTTTCTTAATAACTGTAAAAGCAACTCAACCAATTGGTTAGAACTTTTTTTGCTTATAAATTGTTTAGTTAGTATGTTTATTTTATTTTATTTTGTTTTTTATTTTATAAAGGTTCAAGAATTGAATATAGCAAACCTTTTCTTCAACAAACTGAAATTGTTAGTGTAAGAGGATGTGAAGTAGAAGGGATGTTAGATAATATGGGCCGTGTTATTGAAGAAGGTCCTGATCCTAAACCAGAGTTACCAGGTCAAAAACGAACCTATAGAGTTTGGTTAGATTGTAATCAATATAGGAAAGATCTTGATGATGTTGCTGATGGAAAAACAGTATGATATAATAATATGTATTATTTATTTATAAATTATTAAGTGTGTACTTTGACTGTTAAATCATTGATATCCAAATTCAAATATTTAAATTATTTAAGCATATAAAAAAAAAAGATAAAATAGTATTTTTTTTTTTTTTTTTTTTTTTTTTTTTTTA